CTTGTATAGCACACCTGTTGCAGGGAACCTCGTTGGATGATGTACCATTGCGGCACAGCTCTCCCTGTATTGCTCTAAATATGATCCGGATGAAACGTACCGAATATCACTCCTGACTTGGGCGATATCTAAATGAGCCTTACGTTGCTGGTTTTATCCCTATTCCTCACTGCGGAATGATTCGGTGTTACTATAATGTTAGATGAACAAGGGAGAAGCCAGATTGCCATAGAATTAAAGACATTATCCGAGTCCACTTGAATCCTCGAGTTCTATAGATTGGTAACCACCTGACCTGACCGAGCAGCTCGACATATCTAGACTTGATATACATCATACCCAACCCGTTTTATCCGAACCCAAGATGGAAAAAGAAAGTTGCTTAAAACGTTAGAAAGCTGATAAACCTTGGCAAAAAGTTGTCATTCCATCTTACTAGCAGTCCCATCGGTAGATACCTGATTGTTTGTACAAACGAAGGTATAGCCCACAATTCCTCCTTTGGTTGTGAATAGGGAAGGAAAGGACCTATGCAAACGGCCCTTACCAACTTTCAATCGCCCTCTTCTACATTAAGATTCCAACACTCACTAATAAAAGGAAATAGTAGGGATGGAGGTATCTGATGTCTACCTCGGACACACATGACAAGGGAGCCTCAGCCCGAGTCCTTCGTGTAAGCTAACGGCCAATTGACATTTGAAGACGATTTCGCCATGTCTGGTTGTGACCACTTATGCCAAATTATTCGCTTAGTAGTTTTCTGTCTCCTCGGGAATCGCTCTCTGAGGTTAACAGCATGAATACTCACTGGCCTAAGACTGGGAAAGCAGGAAGGAGCCTCAGTCTCATTATTTTCGAAAGTCCAATAAGTAAGTAGGTGCCTTACCTGGATAGATGGAATACATAAAATGGGCATACGGTACAAGCAACCCACGTGATTGCAAGCCGGTGGTGGCTGAACCGTACCTTCCCACACTGGCCGTGTCCATGACCTGGAGAGAAAGGGTATATACCCCCCTTCAATCCCCTTGCTGTCACCAGCCAGCAGGCGCCCGTCTAGGTCGACGGGTCAGGTCAAACTGGCTGGGTGGTGGAGTGGTTAAAGGTCGACAATCAATCATCTACGCCAACCAGCCTACTCGACGACAGGCTTAGCGAGTACCCGAGTTCGAATCCCAGCTTGAGCACCAAGAGATGTAGCCCCCAGTTCAGCACCGGGGGGGCGAACTCTTTTTACTTCCTATTGTTAATTAGGTTAGTCCTTATTGCTAATGTCGTGATGGCATCAACTACTCCAGTGGCTCACCGAGGGTCACGTGTTATGATATTACACAATCACCGACGTCCTCGACATCCCCCATCATCATACCCTGATTCAAGTTTCCGTATGCACTCCGTACGGAGTACTGACCGCCCGGAAAGCAGGGTTCAAGATTCCCCGGCCGCGCTGGGGAGCCCCATGCTTTGCGTCTGATGTGTTGCAGTGAAATGCCCCCCACAAGAGTCATTGAAGAGGATGCGGGAAGAACACAAAAAAATCCAACTGAGGGAAATGACATAACCTCAGAGAGATGCTGGCGGTGAAGTTGCGGAAACCTGCGACTGGAATGGGACGGGATGCTCCCCCCACGGAAGCGGCCAGACGGGGATATCCCCAGCCAAACATGGGTGGAGACGGGGAAGCCCTGAGTTTGCGCAGGCTTCGAGAAGGTCCCTTTCCGTCGTGTGATTGTTTCGAAGTTTTTTTTTCCTCTTAACGTAAATATAGTATGGGGGTGGGCGTGGGCAAATCACCGTCGGTGTGGGGGACGGGCGTGGGATGTGACTGGGAAGGTCAGATAACTTCACCGTCTTCTGTTCGCCGCACCTTTGGATATCCGTCGGTCTGCAAGGGCCCCGCCACGACCACTTGCTACTTCTAGATCCGTAAGCTCCATCAGATGTGGTGACGATTCGTGAGCCTGCCTTGATTTGGTACCGGAACTTTTGTGTATACCTTGGAACTAGAGGTTAGCAAGCAGTCAGTCAGACGACTGTCGAAAAAGCTGCTTCTCGGCTAGTAATCCAGTACCTCGAATGCCTTGTTCTGGACCAAGACGACACCGTTGGAGCAATAAGAAGGGTACAAACGGGACGCGGCGGGTACCGATGATTCAAGTAAGACGCTTGATGAATGTTACTGAGATCAGTCAGGAGTATTCATTCGCCATCTCAACGCCCTGGTCCGCGGGCTGCTATCTAAAGTTCTGAGCAACTTGAGATTGCTCATGATGGGTCTTTTGAGGCATCCTCTAGCACTCTGGGTGGGGGTGGGGGAAGAGAGAACGCATTGCTGGAGTTGCCGGTTTGAAATCCTAATGTGACCAAGGATTTACGGGCTGTGGTGCCAGCACAACACGATGCCAGCTGGTCCATGTGGTAGAGTGATGATTGTGGCTAAGTATGATTCGTAGGTGCAATTTACCGTCAAGACTATCGAGAAGCCGTCTAGATTGCTGGCCTCCGTTCATTATCTGTCCCGCAGCGAGACAAGCATAGCGGTGGGCAACCGGTGAGGGTAGGATGCAGAGCTGCATGGCAATAATAGCCAGCTTACCTGGCGAATGCAACAACGCAAGCGAATACCAATAGCGGCTCTTCGTATGCTCCCCTGAATGACTTGTCACTTGTCATGCTAGCTTGGGTCGATCGGAGCTTTTATGCGGAAGAGGTGTCATCTGAATCCCTGCAGGAACGGATTGACTTTGCGGCAGAGCTGCGTGCGTGCTCGTGCTCGCAAAGCCATTCCGCAGTGATGAAAATTTCCATGGAAGTAATGGAGATTCGCGGAACGAGTTTCGATGATGACAGACACAATTTACCTGTCCAAGAAGTCAACGGCATTTGACGAACCCAAAGTTGTCGACGGTTCATGCATCACGATGAAGTGCCGCGTGGCAAGCCTGTTGGATCTGGGGATCTGGGGAACAGGGGTCTTTTGATAGACACGCCGTGTTTACCGACATCTCTGTATTCGTATTCGATGTTCGAGACCTTTGCCTTCGAAATGCGCTTCCTGATTATGCATATCTGTATGTCTCGAAGCTGTAGGTACCTTACTCGTGGCAGAGGAGCCGCAATAACAGAGCGGGGCAAGGTGACGAGCCAAAACCGTGGCGGTCTATCTTGGCCTTGATTGTGCCTTTGATCTCAGTTATGTCGAATTATGGCCCACCGTTTCCGAAGGGCCCAGCATCTCGAAGCATAACAAACTTGATCGAAGTTAGAGAAGACGACGAGAGGAAAACCAGAGTGGATGGTCTGTGCCTCCACCCCATGTTTTCGGCAGAGGTTGATTAAGGTTTTGGCTTGGGTGCACGTCTAAAATGGACCATTGCCGTTTCGGGGTGGAATGGAGCTTTTTGGGGCGGCATCGTGAAAAAAAGCGGCCAGCGGTTTGGCGGCTGCGGATCGTGAGTCCACAGTTGAGCACCAGACTCCTGTCGGGACTCCAGGCGCTTGGCCCATAGGGAAGGGATGACCCGTGTTACTGCCGGCATGATCGTCGCGCCCCGATTGTAATCAATGACATATGGTACGGGAACTTATCAACACAAACGAATCCATTTGGATCCAATTGAAAAGACGAGACAAAAATCAAGTGACATTTCTGAGGTTTGGAAATGATGAGATGGAAAGTCAACGGAGAAAATGCTCGGAAATATCTGCATGACAGTGCTTTCGACTTTTACGTGGCTTCTCTCCTCAACCTGAGCCGCCAAGATGCCCATTGTTAGGTAAACTCGGGCGTTGCTTCCTTTTCGACGACCGAACCCCACGGCTCTTGCTCCTTTCAGTCCCGTCTTCGAGAAAAGAAAGCGTTAGCTACGCACTCCGTACCTGCCTGCTCATTCATGCCGTTTTGGACGTCCGGCGCCCAACATCAAGCGTCTGCACTTGCCCTCCTCGCTCTTGAGTCTCCAGGGATGCTTGAACCGAGCCGACCAAGGTACTCCGTACAGGCGACGGATGCTCAACTCCTTGAAAATCTTGTCCCATCATCTGACCAAAATTTTTGTTATGAGACACCCCAGTCACAGCATGCCACTCCCAGAGCTTAGCTCCTTCCCCGGGATCCTTTCTAATATGCCTGGCAGAGACATGGTGACATGGTACCAGAAAGGGATTTGGCGAGGCGCAGCTAACTCCTTTTCCCGCCCACCTCCCCTAAACATTCCCACGACGAGAACCTCCCCTTTCTCCGCGCCCATCACTAGTCTACTCCAGAGAGTCCAGACTGTCCCTCCCGCCTTGCCGGGACGGCACAGGAGCAAGACCCGCGCCGCTCGGTCTTAATATACCAGCTAGAGCCATATTGCCCCTGTTGGTAAGTCAGTATGGAACGCTAACATGCCCTCATCAGCAGCTCCATGACAGCAAACCACCTCAGAAAACCAACCATCTGGAAGATTCGTCAGGGACGATTCAAGCTACACAGGGCGAAGCAATACCGGTATCTACCGGATTCTACTGTCTGACGGCGCAACGTTCATTTCCCACGGTCATCTTGGCACCTTTAAGGAGAACTTACGGAGAACGAAGCAATAATAGAAAATTCAATATCAAACCCCACAGCCGCTTCAGTACGAAGCACGCCACGACACAGGTGGGAAACCGCCCGAGACTGGGATATAGCCTCAGTTAGGGACCTTCTGCTGTCAACCCTTGCTACCGGCGCAGGCCGACCACGCTGAGACGGTTGTAGCTCCCAGGAAGAATGGAGCACTCGCACCAAATTTAGACCAACAGCACAGCGTCTGGCACCTAACAGGCTGAAGGCAATAGTGGTTCCTAATGGTGACGGGACGGTATCCGGCGCACAGACAAGCCTTTGGGCTATACTCAGACCGCCCTGGAGGCTCTTGAGAACCAATGTGCCAGAATGCCAGAGCTTCCCCGTTAGCCGACCGGGGCACAAGCGGAACACGACGGTGAGGGCGCTATTCGAGAATGCCAATCTAAGGGAAGACTACCAGAGCTACCCCTGCTTCAGACACCCTAGCAACACCGGATACTGCTCTGTCCCACGTTTTTTGCTGTATGGATGAGACGCCCCGTTTGGTTTGGGGACAATACTTTGGAGTCGAAACCGTGATAGGGATTGCTAGTCCTGCCAGCCCATAAGGATACAGATATACTGTCAACTCAGACATGGGCAAGCAGTTGGGGTTCTCGCTAGGCTCGACATTTGGCTCCTGAACGGGCAATTCGACGCCTCGCATCGTCGCTGCTGTGTAAATCTCAAAGATCGACCATCGATATCTGCAGGTCGGGTTTGCGACAAACTTGCAACGCATACCTTTACCTTTGAATGCACTTGGGAGTGACAACCTAGTCCGTTTGCCAGCTTGCAAAACACTAAACGGGGCGGAGGAACAATTGACGCTTGGCAGGAAGATTAAAGATGACGGAAAATGAAATTATACGCGCATCCCCAGGTTCCCCAGGTGCCATAACATGGTCAATTTCTTTCAATTCAACTGACCGTTGACCAACAGCCATTCCGCACGCAGTCTTGCGTCGCTAGCTTCGTGGACACGGTCCAGGTATTCAGAGACACGCTCATCAAAACCCAAGAAGCCTTCGTGCGGAGCGAGATCGGAGACGACAACATCTGAGACCTTTGCAAGCTTGCATTGCATCTCAGACACGCGCTCATGAGACTACAGGCCTGGAGTTGAGCCAGTTGTCGTTCCTGCATGACACCGCACCGCGCTCGCTTTTAATTCGAGTCACGAAGCAAGTCATTGTGGCGCTTCTGAACGATGGGCCTTTACGAGTATGGAGAACATTTCCTCAACCCAACTGGCTGAGAATCCTCGGCCCGCACCGAAGTTGCGACCCGGCACATAGCCTCAATCCCCAGTGAAGGCTATGCTCGTCTGAGCTCTTCGCCGGAATTGAGCTGAATGGCGAGGCGTCTGGATTAGAGAGCGGCAACACAACGTGATACTCTTCGAGGTATAGGCAAGATACAGCGCAATTTTTTCTCCCAGCCCAAAGATTCAGGAACATAATCCCAGAAACGATCTGGAGCGACTAAACCTCCCAAGTCCATTGTCTGCATCATAGCGCCAGTTCATTCCCACAGGCTGGTCAGAATAAAGTGCGTAGGGCAAGCGAAGCAGTGATCGGCACACGAGTATTTGCCACCTAAGCCGTTGCGTAGCTTTCGCGCCGTTGGTACCGTTGTTAGATGCGAAAATTGAGAGTTTGGCAGACTGGATCAATCCTGAATCGTCATACCTGCTGAATCAACCCAGATCCGTAAGAAATAGGGGTCCGCAAAGTCCGTCATTGTCTGTGGAGTTACCACTAAAAGTGGCCGTTGTGGATCCCTCTGACTTTTGGACTATGGTTATGATGCAAAAGCGCACCATTCAGCCTGCAGAGTTGGCGACTGAAGCTGACAGATGTTGGAGACTCGTCCAGATGAGATCGAGATAATGGAAGGAGCCTCATCGACCATCGTATACGGAGACACAATTCTGTAAGAATCAGAATCCGACACACAATGAGCTGCCAGACGGCAAGGCTTGGGAACCAATTCTCATATGGGACGGCAAGACGAAGAGAGCAATTTTCAGCACTGCCGGCCCAGTCGGAGAGTCGCTGTCAGCAAGCAGGGTCCCCGTATGATTGTTGCAGCGCGATACATCGTTATTCTGATTCTTCCAATACCATGGCCCAGGAAATGACGCCCAAGACGCAGTTTCCCTCCATGCCTTAACATGCGGAATGCACTTGCGCTGCTGGTGACGTTGGTATCATATCCTTCTCTTCAGTACACCCACTAAGCAATGGCAAAGCGACTTAGACTCAAACTCTGGCTTTTGCTCTTCTTTTTCCGCTTTACTTTGATCGCAAAGATAACAACAGCGGCGACTTTCATCCCATCTAGACCCATCGGACCGGCAAGGTGCAGTCGGATGCGCTGTCACCGTGGCCCGACATTCATGCAGTATGTTGAGATTCTCATTGTCAAGATTCAGGGACCATGGGCTCACGGGCTCGACAGACTCAACCAATTTTGAGCTTTCGTCTCGTCTGCTCTTTGAGTTGTGGCGGCGGATGTGAGGCGGCGGACGTGCGGCGGGTCAAACAAGCAGCGGTGACGTATTTGCACCTTTTCAAACGCTACAGTAGATATCCAGGATCTCTCAACTTGGCCCCATTTTACGGTAGGGTGGATTCACATGGGGTCCCTCCACGCTAAGACATCCCGGATGGCTTGACGGACAGGAAGCCGGGCAAGGTGCAGGACGGAGTAGCCGCCACCCACCAGACCTGCAAGCTGCACTCCACACCACATTGCTAGCGTCGACCATCCCAGCTTCCACACCACACTCCCGTCCACACCAGATTTCTTATGGGATGCTGAACCCAAAGGTATTGGTGCCGCCGTTCGGTGCGAAAGTACGGCCAGATTGCCAAACAAACACCTTGCTGGGGTCACCATGGGGGCCGCTTTTGCCATTAGGACGCTGAGAGGTGTCCTGAAAACTGACACGCGCATGGAAACTGGCCGCAAGGAACCAGGTAGGGACGCTGGAAGAGGGCGGGGCCCTTTCAGTCGCATCGCCGTGCCATTTCTATCAAACCTCAGTTAGTACTTCGTATACGATTACAGGTTGACGGAGCGGAGTACCTACTCATTAGCAGCGCTGTCTCGAATGCTTCGAAACCTCCCGTCTCCTGCCAAGCGTAAGGTGACGCTCGCTGGATCTGTAGCGTCCGGATTCATCCCGCAAGCTGGCCACGCAAGGCCAATCCAGGTGCTTCCCGCTTCACGGCCGCCCAAGCGCGTGGTGTGAGGTGGTGTTCTCTGCGTCTTGTTACCCCCAATCCCGAGCGAGAGAACCCCCGTGTCCACGACCCCTGTATGCAGCATCTGCAGTCTCTTGAGAGAGTAGAGCCGCAGTTATGTTGGAAGTGGGTGTGCCCAGGTCACCCAATTGCCCGTCTCGCCCAGCCAGCATCGCCATCCCGACCGGCCGAAACAATACCATTCACCGCGTCGACGCCCACATGAGCTCCAACACCAGGAATTTCTCATGGATGGAGTGATTAGATATTTGTTTTTTTTTTTTTTTTTTAAATGGGACCCCTGGCGCGCACTAGAACGGTTCCGCAATCGCCGCACGCCACGCTCGGAATCTCCACGTCCATCACTTGCAACACTAGGAAGGTACGAAGCTACCTTAGTGACGGTACCGATACGGACAGCTTTCCTCCACTTCAGCTCAGCGTAAGGCAAGGTAGCTGGGTGATCAACGTTTTAAGGTGAGGCACGCATACTAGACCACCAACCCTTCGTCTGCCTCACATCATCCTGCGTCGGCGAACACAAGGTACCTCCACTTCAGCTACCTTTTCTTACGCTACACATACCGTACCTTCCCAAGCTTACCTCACTTCGACTGTCTCGACTGTCGGTCCCTTCCTTCCTTACCTTAGCTTACACGGGCCACACCTTCCCTTTCCCCCCTTTGGACCTACCTATATCAACTTGGACACCTACTTCCTTCCACTTGCTTGTCCGTCCAACTTTTTTTTTTCCCACCCACATTCGCATTCCATCATTGTTTTTCTTCCCATCAAGCTCGACTTCTGCGAATCTCTGCGACTCTCCTACATCTTCGCACCTTCATCACCGGTCAAAGCCTGTCTCGCGTCGACCAATTCTTTCCCTCCTCCCTACCACAAACAATTCTACCTCGTATCCTACTCATCACCATCTGACCGATCGCAAAAATGGCCGCCGCGCGCTCTGCCTTCCGTCTTACCACCCGCTTCGCTCCTCGCGTTGCCATCCGCAGCCAGGCAGCCCGTCCCTTCTCCGTCTCTGCTCGCGCCTTCAAGAGCGATGTTGTCAGCGAGAAGGAGGTTCCTGTCTCTGTCTACGCTCCCGATGCTAAGGGCACTGGTCAATCCGACCACTTCTCCATTCCTGTCCGCGAGCACGACTCTCGCCCTCCCACCGAGTCCCCTGTTCCCGGTCCTGAGAACGACGATGTCGTCCCCCTCACCCGTAAGACCTTCGACTCCATGCCTCCCATGATGCAGAAGCTCTCTGTCATGGGCAAGACCATTGTGGTCACTGGGTACGTTTTCCCCCTTCAATTGTCACCAATTGCGAGATCATTGCTCCAATGGATTACTTTGCCCTCAAAAATAAGAGCTGTAAAACAACATCACGACTAACTTCATCTTCGCAGTGGTGCCCGTGGTCTGGGCAACTACATGGCTCGTGCCTGCGCTGAGGCTGGTGCTAAGGCTCTGGTCATCTTCGATGCCAACCAGGAGTTGGGTGACGAGGCTGCTGCCGAGCTGCACCAGAAGACTGGCTTGCCCGTCACCTTCTTTAAGGTGGATGTCCGTGACGGCGCTGCCATTAACGCTGCAGTCGACTCCGTGGTTGAGCTCTACGGTGCTCCTGATGTTCTGGTCAACTCTGCCGGTATCGCTGAGTACGTCATAATCCCCATAATGCAGCGTGCACAAAACGCACAGCACCTCAGTATCCGCCCCTTGTCGCTTAGCGAGACCCACTAACACTTCTCCTTTTGAACAGCTCCAACATCAAGGCCGAGACTTACGACCCCGCCATGTTCCGCCGTCTTATCGACATCAACCTGACTGGTTCCTTCCTCATGTCCCAGGCCGTTGGCCGCGCCATGATGAAGGCTGGCAAGCCTGGCTCCATCATCTTGGTCGCCTCCATGTCTGGCAGCATTGTCAACTACCCCCAGGAGCAGTCCTGCTACAATGCCTCCAAGGCTGGTGTCATTCAATTCGGCAAGTCCCTTGCTGCTGAGTGGGCCAAGTACAACATCCGCGTCAACTGCATTTCCCCCGGCTACATGGACACTGCCCTCAACCGTGTCCCTGCCCTTGACGCTCAGAAGAAGATCTGGAAGTCCCTTACTCCCCAGGACCGTCTCGGTGCTGTTGACGACCTCAACGGTCTCTGCGTCTTCCTGGCTTCCGATGCCTCCAGCTTCATGACTGGCTCCAACGTCATCATCGATGGTGGTTACACTTGCTACTAAGCCTGGACATTAATGTGGCCATTCCCCGAGCTTTGCTTTGTTGCATCGCCTTGGGGTAGGTCTGGCATGTACCTGACGAGTATTGAGCTTGCAGGCTGCGTCCCGTCATGCAGCTACGATGAAGAGCATCGCTGATCCACACAGACGGTATGTTTGCCACGGGCAGATGTGATACCAGTGGAACCAGCATCATCGCTCCGACATGGTCGCCTACACTACGGCGACTTCGTGCCGATTTCTTAGTGTCATTGCTTTATTTTTCCTTTTACCGACCCGACAAAAGTCTTCCGGGACTATACCCCCCAGTGGTCCAAGGGTCGCACAGCACCCATTCAGCCCATCGACTTTCGACTGTCAGCAATCATTTCTCTCTCGCGCAAGTGTTTGTTCCCAAAGCAGGCAAGGCAGTTTCAGGAGTCAACAGGAACAAACCAAAAGATTTGGGGATTTGGACTAGAGGTTCTTTTTTTCAATGGTTTTGAGTCTTTGCCCCTCAGTGGCTTTGGGCAACCGGACCAGCAAACAGAGGATAGAGAGGGACGGACAGAAATATGATTTTTGGGGATTGGACTCTGGGATTCCCCGGTAGACAGGACAGATCAGACAAAGAAGTTTCGCAGGATAGAATCCAGAGAGAAAAGACACGTCTTTTGTGTTACGTCACTTTCAATCAGTGTTTCTTCTTCGAGCCTCGTGGAATGTAACGTGACGTTGGCCTTTTCTGAACCTTTGTGAACCTTTGTGAGATTGTGGGGTATGGGAAAGTGAGGCTGCTCTCCTACCATTTCAGAAAGAACATGCTGGTGACATTGTAGGTGACACTTGATCTCGAGGCTTTGTGTCATGGTTGCAGTTGCACTGATTTGATCTTCCCCCGTGGGAAAAGACGTCCTATGACTTGATGAAGACATGGAATGATGCTTTCCACAGCTTTACGTATATGGATTCCAATTTTCAAGCAAAGGCGGGGGGACGAGGGGGGGAGGGAGCCGAAGAGATCATCTCCGGCCCGAGCCTATGTTGATGTATTGAAGGAAAACCCCACAGCGGTACCGACGATCATCGTGGAAACTCGACGATCGTGGGTTTTTCTCCCTCCGGGGATGGAGCTAGCTACACTACCTTACCTGGGTGGGCAAGGGTGTGAGTAGACAAATGTCCGACGGGAGAGAGAAACCACCTAGCCTTATCGTGAGGTGGACCTCGGACTCTCCACGATGGGTTGAATTTGAGTTGGTCGCCCCCCGTCTCCACAGCGGGAAGAAAACGCACAGGTTCTTGGTTGATTGATGGTGTGCTCGTTCGGGGCTCCACACTCACGATACTTTCGAAAATCCTAGGGGTAAGCATCGTGGAGCTTAAAAAAAACAACAAAAAAACGGAGGGAACCTGGAAACCAAGCGAGTCCACAATCCCGGCATCCGGATTCAACCCCGAATGAGAGACCGTGCATTTTGGGGCTGATCACAGCAAAAAGGCCTTGGTGAAGAAGACACACAATCCTCATGGTGATTTCCAGTGGCGTTTCCTTGATCGCAATTGATTCTATTCTACAGCTTGGGGGCAAGAAAACAAAGTCATCATCCTGCTTGCTAATTCTCATGGCCATTCCTCCTCAACGCCTGGGTATTTGCCATCCCAAAAAAAGTACAGTTTTTATCACACGTTCTCCCACATTTTGTACTCGCTCAATAGTCCGGGCCACGATGCCATTTACCGCAGTTCCCCTCGACGTTTTACAGCCTCCTGGTGTCCACGGTGGTGAATCAAGGCCAAATGAGCCCCTGTCGCCATCAGGCTGGACCCAGAACATCTGCCCAGTCAGGCCTCTACAACGTAAAACAACGCATGACGTATCGTAAGTAGGCAGGCTGTTGGAATGCGCCTACAAGTCTCTTTCCGACTCGGCGAATTCGATGAGAGAGAAAACGTGAGACCGCTAAGAAATCCCGCGTCAGTGGCCATAATGGAGTCAAGTGGCAGCGGACAATACTTACCAGAACCTTATTCTCGGTCATGATCTCGTAGAGACGGGGAAGAACGTTGCGGAACAGGCGCTCATTCCAGCCACCAGCCTCACCTCCAAGCTCATGCTGCTTGAGCAAATCCTCCTGAGCACGCGTTTTGACCACATTGCGGGCAATGTTGCGAAGAATCAGCACCGCGCTGAGAGGAATACCGGCTGCTTGAGGAGGAGCTGCGGGGTTCTGCTCATCGGGAGCCGTGGCCGTCTCTTCAAAGTGAACCACAAGACTGTCACTGGGCTGGAGTCCCGCTTGCGCCTTCTTCTCGTTGATGGCGATGCCGTTGAAGCTCTGGCAGCAGTGAGTTTGAAGATGGTGGCCCATAAGGGCGAGCTTCATCTTCGTAGGCTTCTTGTACTTGGCGCAGTCAGCCCACTGGCATCTCACCTCTTCCTCCTTGTTGTCGAAACCACCCTTGTCGTTCCGAACCCACTTGAGATGGGTAGTAACGACATGCTTCCACATGGTCTCCTTGGTTCCGAAGAAGTGACCGCACTTTTCGTTGGGCCGACCAGAAGCCGAGTCCCATAGACAACGGACAAAGACCTGGCCGTCTAGGCCCACAGGTCGAAGTCGACACTGGATTCCGCGGATAATGAACTTCTGCTGAACCTGGCCGGGATTTCCAGTGCCAGCCCACACTTCAGCCTTGGAGCTCTTATACGCCGCACAGCTGTTTCTGATGAAGTCCGCCGGAGTGATGAGAGGCTGGTCAATGGCCTGCAGAGCGGCCTTGAAGGCATTCTGGTACGCCTGCCAAGCTGCGATTTGGGTGACAAAAGAGTCGTTAACTTCCTCGAAGAAGCACTTGACCCACTGGTTGCATCTTTCAGGCTCTTCCAGCTTCAACAGATCCTGTAACAGGTCTTCAGGCATGGCAGCCGGGTCGTTGCTGGTGGCGGGTTTCGGCGCGGGCTTCAAAACCTCTTCTACCTGGTATCGTCTAGCATTGTGCGAAAGGAGACGAACAAGATGATGGATCAGGTGCTCGCAGTTAAGAGACTTGACCAAATTGTCCACGTTGCCGACAACCGCAGTGTACTGGTAGAGGAAGTCGAGGCAAGCATCCTTGAGTTCGTCGTCGTTCAGAAGCATCAGCTCGCTAATCTTGGTCAATATAGCTGTAGGAACCTTGTCCAGCCTGTTGGTGGCTTCAAGATTCATCGAGATACGACCAAGTGCTCGAAGAGCCGTGAGAATGATACCCCGATCGTCGGAGCCCTTCAATTGCTTCATGAGGACCTTGTAGAGGGGATCGCGAGAGTCAATCTCCAAGTAGGGTGTCAAAGCCTCTGCAATGTCCAACATTTGGTGCTTCAGCTCAACCAACCACTCGTGCTTGGGGAGACTCAAGACAATGCAAATCAGGTCTTTGATCGGCAAAAACTCGGCCAAGTGTGCAGCATTCTCACGGAGCTGTGACATGTTCCTGAGAGTCAAAGCAGCCTCATTGACGAGGACCATCTGATCAGAGAGGTGCTCGGGTACAATGAGTTCGTTGACTTCCTTTGGCTCCAAACTGTCGATACGTTCCAGAATGTCTTCGGTTCCTTCATTGCCATCGAGAGTGTCGAAATAGTCAACGGCGTTTTGCGAAACCCAGGAGATCTTCCACTTGACATCATAGAAAATGCTGCCAATCTCCAGAACCTTTTCGACGAGACCTTCGCTGAGGCCCGGAAAGCCTTCGAACTTGAACTTGTCGTGGCGTTCATAACTGATCTTGACCAAATGGTAGAGCGCGAACTGCTGCTCTTCGAAGATGGCAGAGCGCAAAGCCATTAGACAGCGAATGTAGATATTGGGTCCTTCGAATCCAACTGAACACAAGTTAGCGGCTTGATACACTTTGACGAGAGAGAATGAGGATGTCTTTACCTCCAGGATAGGGTCCACTGCGGCGAGGAGGCTCCAGGAGGGAGCGTGCTACATGTCGGCGGCGAGCAAACTCGGCCGGATTGTTGCTTGGTGTATCGACAGGGCGCATGGGGAGAACGTGCTGTTGGTTCGGTGGCTGAAGCGAGCGGGGAAGGTATGATTCAACGGATGCCGACGAGTTGTCTGGGTTGGGCGGATTGTAGCTGCCGCTCGGTCCTCGCGGTGGAGCTCTTGGTTGGTGAGGAAGAGGCACGGGAGTGTGCTGAACCTGTTGCGGTGTTCCATGATGACTGCCTGAATGGCCGCCTGGGGTAGGAGTGTTAAGGTGGCTCGGCTGTTGGCCAGAGACGTGGCGAGTCGGCCTAGCAGGACCTGTATCGGGTTGAAAGATGACTCTCTGGGGCGGGGCCTCGCGTAGGCCACGAGAAGCTCTCACGCTGGATGTAGGTGCCGCATCTGGAGTCGGGCGCTCTCGTGTAGGGGTGCCATCATCGCCAGAAGCCGCGGCCGAGTCAGCAGCCGTGCCACTGTCGCGCTTCGCTCCACGGAAGTTCTCTCTGGTTCGAGACAAAAGACCACCACCCTTAGCAGAGACATCCTCCAAAATGTCCTTTGGAGGAGGTTCCTTGCCGTGGAAGAATTTAATCTCGTAGGCAGCAAGGTTTTTGTAGTACTTCTCCTTCAACGAGAAGGCAGTTGAGGCCACGTTGGACGAGTGGATGCCGAGCTGCTCCGCCATCCGGCGCCAGGCCAACTTCTCATCAGACACCTTATCATAGCCGCCGTTCGCGCAGATGTGGGTGAAAGTCTTGTAGAGGTCGAGATATACCGGTCCGACCTTGGGCTCGGCCTCTAGAGCAGTGCCCCGCTCCTGGTGGTAGGCCTTCAGCTTGGCCATGAATTCCTCATACTCGGGGGTTCGGCTGATAGCATGAAGCTCGACCTCAGCTTCTTTGGGCGCCATGATGGGTCGGTCGATCGAGCAGGCTGCTGTTTCCCTGTTAGTGGACGCGCAAATGGGGTTGTACGTTCGGGTTGAGGCAAACTGACCGGCAGCCTGCTAGCAAAGTCGGGTTCACTTGTTCGAGATCGTAGCCCGGTGTGAGGCTCGCAGACGAGCTTCGAGTCCTTCTACAGAACTCAAGTTGTTGGAAAAAGCTGCGCGAGGTGTTGCGACAAGAACTGCCTGAATCTTTGTGTTGTACAACGCGTTGTCGACTCCCAATGGAAGAGGGTGGGGATGAAGTGTGCTCTTGCGCAAGTTCAGGGCCCTCTGCGATCGGTAGTGATGCGCCGGGACAACCAACCAACCGTGTTTTGCCTTTACGCGACGTTGAGAAATCCCTGGCTACGTCTGGGCTTATCTTCACGTGACCGTAAGCTCAATCTGGTGGTCCCTGCGCCAAGGGTACCACTTAAACCCCAATTCGGACTGTACCCACATGAGCTGCACCTTCCATTTGCACCTCGAGGCATGGGTGAAGACTGAAGAGAAGCCAGACCCCTGCCCAGACTGTCACTTGCCTCCTCTCCAGAGTCAGGGACTAAGGGCTCCTTCCTATTTGTACTTCAGGGCAACAACCATTCAACCTCACTTGGCGTGTGACTGTCTCCAGCCCACTCTTCAACCCTCATATGCTGTGGGAGTATTTGTTGATCATTGCTTTGCTCTGCTCAATCCATCCAAGAACCCTATCACCAAATCGAAATGCTATACACCCCTGCCTCATGTTACTAACTCCACAGTTTGGTGGCATCGATGACTTGATCAGCCTCGTTTTCTCGGGCTACAGACATACTTGAAGGTTCTTCTCTTGCCACACATTACCGTCCGAAGCGCGGCTCTGTGTATTGCCGAACATGCCGCCCAAAGTACAGAAACCCCAGAACTGGACGTTCACACTGATCCATGCAGCAGTCTCCGAGAGACGCCACCGTGAGAAAGACTGGTTATGCACCTCCAGTGTCGAAAATGCCGTCCTTAACTTGAAACAGGAGATACTTCTCGCAGATGCTATGGGATCCCGAGGCAATGCCAACAGAGAGCCAAACCATGTTCTCATTGTGCCGAGACAAGGGGCGCAGGCTGTAAGTCGCCTCATAATCTGGACAGCACGCGCTTATTGACAGAATGAAGCTCAAGCTGGGACTTGGGAGTCGGGATGGAGCTATTCCAAGAGACGCCGACTACATGCTGGGCTACTGCCCCGGGGCCAATATCTTGGTCATCAGAGAGAGCCTTCGCAGTGTACGTTCACATTCTATGCCTGTACCGGGGATGTTTGCTGACCATCTGTAGGTCGATCAACAGATCCGTCTAAGATTCAAAAGCCAGAGTGATACAGACCAAGTACTAGGCCTTTTTCAAAGTCTCGGCTTTCAGGCCAGGCCGATGCAATCATCTCGTCGTCAGCCCACTCCACTGCAGCAATTTCGGTCATCCTCGGTTGCAGGCGACTTTCAAACTTCTGCTGCGATCCAGCCCTACTCCTCGAGGCATAATGCAAGTTTCATGCGACAAGAATACTACCAAGGTCGGCTGGGCTCGCCTCCGGGGACACAATTTCCCTCGGAAGGACACCACTCGATACCTCGAGCCAGCAGTGTAGCTGCGCAGACGTACCGGCCTTTAACGTCCGTCAGTCAACGCGCAGGGTCTGTTCACCAGTCCATAAATGAATTTGGGACACCCCACACCTTCAACCGATCTCGCACTGCATTCAAAGAGATGCCGAACGAATACGCATCGCAAACAGCTTCGTCGAATACAGAGTACAGGTCCGCGGTCCCTACACCTTCAACGAATTCCCACCGACGGCCATTAGTACGCTCACCGCCGGCTTTGCAAGATTTCCGTAACTGGAATCTCAGTCCATCAGCCGATGAAGTCGCTTTCGCCAAGTATGACGAACGGACATCAAGGGTTAGTTCTAGCACCCAGATTCAAGACATGCTTCCTCCCCGTCGTCAGCTTCCATTCTCAGTCGGAAGTAGGGCAGAGAAAGAGGGCACTGAAAGAAGTACCACGCTACTGGGTACCACGCACCCGGGGACTACAGAGCACAATCAAGATTCCCAAGGTGTGGGCAAAGAGGGACAAGCCCTCAGGCCTCGTGCATCAAAAAATGAACCTACTGAAGTCCAAGAATCGGCGGAGCGAGGCAACGGAGCGCAGACCACAAGGATCAATTTCGTCAAGAGAAAGGAAGCCGGTGTGATCGACATCTCAGCTCACAAGAAGCAAAAGTGTTCTTCCCAGGCGAAGTTGATTTCCACATCACCGATCCCGCTGCCAGCCATTTCCTCTGCTCATTTCCAACGCAGAGCATTATCACGGGCTCCTAGCCTGGCCATCGGGCATGTGCAACGGCCATCGTCAGAAGCTATCGAGAGTGGTGGTATCAACCAGGGGCTAAGAGATGCGGTTGACTCTGCATCGGCGAACACAATGCAATCTGCAGAGATCGAAGCTGTGAGACATGCCCAAGGTACAATTGACAGAGGGTCGTCTAGTGTGGATGCGCCTCCGACTATATCGGTGGAAGGAGTCGACCAGGCTCCACCAATCCGTGCCGTGATACCAGTTCAGTATACAGAGGGAACCGACGCCGGCCTCGATTTTCTGCGGCCGGTGTTGACGAATATGGCTCATGGCACACAGACCGAGCCTACTCCCTCTGGCTCCTCAGAAAAAGAGGAAGAACTTTTCATCGCAAGATTCAAATTGATGTGGGATATCAGAAATTTACACCAAACATCTTTCAATCGTTTGCTCGACACTTCTAAGCCGAATCATCGCATATACGAAAAGGAAGCTTTGGAAGAGTTGGAGCAAGATGCTATCGATCTCTGCCAGGTCGCGATTGACCGTTACGGTCCTGAAGTGGGCGAAGTACCGTATGAGAAGCTCCTGAAAGCTATCATGGTTCCAGGATACTGAGCGAATGTGATATTGTATGAGGTAAGATTACTCCTCGGAGAGCGACTGATTTCACTTAACAGGAAGGATTCTGAAGGGGGTTGAAATAATGGCATATGGTGCGCGTATGAAAGATGCTACGAATTGGAGCCAGGTTGTTATATCACATCATGGTGCGAGTCAGTTGATGAAAACGAGAGAATTATGTATCCTATGCTATAATAGAACTGACGATTCATCTCTTGACGATGATCCGCATACCGCCATGGAGCTACCTCTCTTATGATGAAATATCATCCAAGCTCGCGGACTCGATGCATGGCCCTCGTCCTTCGCCTTCTCTAATACTGTCCGTTGATGAGAGTGGTGGTAACCATCTCGACAGTACTCAGTATATCGCAATTTCTCTTGCTCTTGTATCCTACAATTCTACACAGTCCTCTCGAGTCTCGCAGTCGCTAGGGTCCAAAGCTATTGGTGCTGTGTAATATGCATACCTACCAGGGAGTGATGAAGGGCGGTGGAAGTTGGAGTTTGACACTCGCCCATGACACCAGCCATCGAAGACACCAGAGTTCAAACTCCTCGCTACCTTGGTCTCTTCCATGCAGCTGTCCTCATGTATCAGTTCGCATCGCATCCATCTCAAAGGGTTGGCAGTAAGCGGTCCAGATAGTGGATTTTTTCTCCTGCAATACGATGAACATTATGGACTCTTCCGTGATGTACAATTACGACGGCTGCTTCGATAAAGTCTTTTGATCATTGCTTACTTTCTGAGCGACCGATTCTGTGAGGATGAGCCGGATCACCATTACCCCCATTCAAGACCGTTTCAAGTGGTCACATCGTCCACTTGTAGTGATCCTTCTCATCCTTGGGCAATCTCAGCTCCACGACGGGCAACTCTTCATCGTACTCGGGGTCCGAGTAGTCGAAGTCGACATATGTCATCCATTCGTACACTCCGTTCACCAAGTGAATGACTGTATGCTCCGAGACCAGGTCAGGCTCGGGCCGGTCAGGAAGCGCAGGAGGCGAGTAACACTCGCTCGGAGAGTCCCAGGCGAGCGTGGTGCCGTCGGACAACCACGTGGTGACGGTGGTGGCATCGTTGTCGTCTGCGAGGGCGATGTCGGGGTCCGGGTAGTAGCTCCCGTCCTCGAAGTCGTCGCCGTCGCTGCAGTATGTCATGGCGAGGTCGAGGTCCTCGAAGTCGTCCTCGTATTCGCTGTTGTACACAACGAACCTGTCATTGACGGAGTCGCCACTCTCGAAGGAGCTGTCGGTTTCGACGACTTCTCTATAGTCGAAGACGTTGGTTCTGGTGTCTTCAACAAAGTCGATCATATCGACATCACTATCTTCGACATAGTCGACCATCTCGATATCGTTCTCGCTATAATCAGCCATCGAGATGTCGCTGTCGATGTCGATATCTCCACTATAGTCGGCCATTACGACGTCCACATCTTCGTCGTCGTACTCGGCCATCTCGACATCGACGTCCTCGCTGTAGTAAGACATCTCGATATCATCGTCTTCGACATAATCAGCCATTGAGACGTCGTCGTCTCCGCTATAGTCGGCCATCGAGATGTCCTCATCGTCATCGTCGTATTCGGCCATGATGATATCGCCATCCCCAGAAGCCTCAATGGAAGAGGCGTCGATCATGGTGATATCATCATCGCCTTGAGTGTAGTCACGGCCGGACGCACTATTGAAATGGTTCGCGCCAGAAACGAACACATAATGCGTGCAGCCGTCGTCAGAGTCGCTCTCACCGACGATACACCCCTCGCCTGAGGAGTACCCGCTATCTGACTGCCTGGAACTCCAGGAGCGAGACCGGGCGTACCTCACCCTCGGGCCGGGCGAGGACCGGGGCCCGCTCCAGAGGCCGACATCAGACTCGTGCTTGTAGCGATGTGAGTCCGTGTCGGGGCAGATGCGGTACTCCTCGGCGTCCAAAAGGTATTCGTCATTGATGGTACCCTCGATAGCATAGGAGGATGAGGAAGAGGATGGAGAGAATGGGATGTTACCCTTGCTTTTTGAGATGGCAATCGAGTACAAGACTGGAGTCTGCCGCGCTGCGTTGAGCGGGGCGTCGACGCCGATTCTGGTGCTCCAGCTGCGGGATCTACGGTACTTTGCCTTGGGACCGGGAGAGGAGACGGGGCCGTCTGTGATAGTGAGGGTCCAGTCGCGGCGACGTTTGGCGATGCGTTGGCGGTGGTCCACGGTTGAAGCTGGCGCGCCCGATGAAGTGACGGCGCTTGCGGCAGTGACCGGGGTGGTAGCCTTGGGAGCGGACTTTTTGTCGATGATGTTGCGAACGGACTCCATTGTATCTCTTGATACTCTGATCTGAGGATAGGTGAAGAGTCTGGTTGCTATAAGGCAGTGTGCCTTGTGTAAGTGGCTGGGGGTGAGTGTGGTATAGCAGATGGGTAAAGCAATTCCTCAAGATGAGTATGTATATGTTGTAACTGAACAGTACTCAATGAAGATATGATTGGGATGAAGAATGGCATGCGAAATGGAAAGGATGCCAGTAATGATGGAAAAGAGGCTACTTCTTATAGGATTCTCCTCGTGAGATGATGCGAAAACCGGGCAATCAGGGTTTGGAAAACGACTTCGTTCTGACACCTTTCTAACTGTTGAAGCCATCGGAGATAGCTTCCCGGCACGGCCAAAATGAGGGGATCATCGTGAGTTTTGATCCATAGAGGTTGTTAGTCCATCTAACCTCGCACTTCCCACGGTTCGCTTGAGAAGAGACTTCCCGTTCAGCGAGAGCAGTGCGAAAGAAAAGCAAAACACCCCTCACTACGTAGACGTTTATGGCACGGGAAACGGGACACTCGTTGGTGAGCCTGGGAGGATGCCAGCCATCCCAGGTTGTGTTGGCGGATCGCCCTACGGAAATGAGTGTTATGGGCAGCAAGGTTTCTCTGAGTTTGGTTGAAGACCGCGAGTTTGTGTCGAGAACCTGGGAACTGTGGCATGGGAAAGCCAAGGTACTTACAAGTGTGTTAAGACCGGGTCAAAGAAACGGAGAAACCCCCAATCTTGTCCTGGGATAGCACTATCCATCACATCATGGCTGTTAGGTTGATTCGAATGGCAGTGGGTATTTGTCTAGAGTTTATCTGCGTATCCAAATGCCTCTGCATGATCAGGGAAGAATGTAAGTTGAGAGGAGAACGAAGGGTTGTTGGGTAGAATCTCAAATCAAACCACAAGAAATCACGACGATATGTCACAACAGCCAAAAAAAAAAAAAAAAAAAAAAAAAACACCATGAAAAGGGAGCAAAACCTCAATTCTCTTCTTCCCAATGCAAGTAGTGAGCGCCGAGGATCCCAAGCCCGACGAAAGCCCCTATTTCTTCCATGCCCTAATACTTTTTTTTGTTCCGCTAATTCTAACATACAACCAACTCCTCGCGCCCCCCAAAAGTCGCTCAAGCAAATCCAAAGCCTTGCGCGTTCTCCAATGCCATGGAAAGTCTCTCTCTCAGGACATCTTTATCTTTGTACTCTGGCAGCAAAAGCGTACCGTAACATGTGTACGCGGTGGGCAAATGCCCGCCCTCGCCCTCCTCTTCGCCGTTTCTTTGAACAACGAATTGCATATTCTTCATGCCGCCGACGGGCACACGGTCCGACGCGGTGACGAACTCCAACAGCCGCCTCTTCATCTTCTCGTCGTAGCGCTTAACAATCGACCAGAAGTCTCGGACGCCGCGGTGGGTCGCGTCCCAGCCGACGTATCTTGTGTACCGGCGTAATTCAGAAATGTCAATCTCCTGGACACCCTCCACGAGTGATTGGAGGAGTGGCGGAGTCAGGAGCCCGAGTGCCTTGGGATGTATGCAAGCTCGGAATCCACGCTCAAACGCTTCATACTGCGGGCGAACAGAAACATCCGTCAGGTATTTGATATAGTCGCTGACGTACGCATTCCTGTTCTCGTTGGTGACGAGCGGAGCATCCTCGGGATTCCCATCCACAAGCGACGTCTTAGCAGTCGCCTCGAACTGGGGCCAGCTGCTAGCCTTTCCATCCATCTCCCGAGAAATGGGCTGTCCAAACATGGACACGGAGAATTCGTATGTGCGTGCAAAGACGTCTTCGACAAGACCCTGTTTCTCGTCCCATTCAAGTAAAGTCGTCAGTCCCATCGCGAGGTCTGGCCATCCGTCGGCGATGTGGTGCAATTCATCCACAGGCTCACCTAGGAGCTTGCGGTAAAGTGCCTTAGGGAAGGTGATGGGCAGTGTCAGGCCGTTATAGACAGCCAGTGACACCAACAGACCAAGGATCTCAAACTTCCAAGCTGGTACGACGGATCCGGGGACGAACCAGGTCATGTGGGTCCTATCGTCGACCGTGAAAGCGCCATGATCGGGGTTGAGGCACTCAGCAACAGCAAGTCGAAAAAATTCCTGTTGAACTCCACCCGAATCGAATCCCTCTTCGCCACCTTCCTCGCCAAGATGGATCTTGAGCGGTCTATGCAGCTCTCTTGCTTCTCGCCGCCAGAGTTGATCGAAAGCATCCCTGATGACGTTCTTACGACTAATCTCGAGGATCAAATACTTTGAGGAGGCTGTTTTAAGAAGGTCTTGTAGAACGAGCTTATGATGGGGATTGGTAATGAGGCCTCCGGGAGCAACAATCGCCTTCATACGTGTTTGGAGCGAGCTCGATTCCTCATAGCTTCGGCTCATCTTCGAGAAGTTGATGGATCGGAAATAAGAAACCAAGGCAGATGGGTCAAAGATGAAGGGGAAGTCCAACAGGTGCTTCTTCTGTCTCGAGGAGGTATGGGTGAGCCAGGCGACAGGCATATTGATCGAGTCCAGCCTCTCGGCAAAGTAATCCACGCGGAATTGAATGTCTCCAAGAAGCAAATCTTGTCGTTTTTCGTCTAGTGGGGCAGTCAGTTGAATGAAAAGTCTCACGTGTAATGATTTGAAAACTTACACATAGCAGTAATCAGCGACAACGCTCCACCAAAGGAGCTATCGTATGAAATTTCAGGCTGGCCATCCCATTGCTGAAGCATCACTGTCTTGGCCCAGTCTAGCAATAGCGTAGAAACCCTGGACTCGTGGCCAGCTCGCTCGAGCTGGCCCACCCCAGGAGTGGAAGATGAGTACGAGTTAAGTAGATCAAGTTGGGACAGAAGGGGTCGAAGGGCGTCGAAGTCCTCTTTGTTGTCCTCGAGGTCGTCGTCTTGCGCAGCCATGTCTGCAAAACACCTACGCGCGGATATGGCGGCGAACAAACGCCTCGCCAGCCGGAGTGCCAGATCGTTCGAAAAGGCATCCTCATACAGAAGGCAGAGCCAAGCTGGCTGCCGCGCGAGAGCACCGCTTCCGGCGAGAGTTAGTCCATTAGAACGGATTCGTGACATGTCGAAAAGAATTCGAGAGTCTGTAATCAACGGGGCCGCGGCTACCAGCGCATGGAGGCATATCGACAAGAGCTGACCTGCTTCGACATTGGCAAGAGATCGATCGGTTAGGCGGAACATTTTGGCAGCGGGGGAACGAAGGGATTGCAGTGACTTGGGTGCTTTGAACAGGCTCCCAGCTGCCATCCACAAACTGTGAAACACCAGGCTTGGAGCCACTCGCGTGAGTCTCAGCATGCAGTACCATATGGTATGGGAATCGAGCAATTCGTCGTCCTTGACAAAGGATGCGACTAAGCTAACGGGGTCGCTCAAGATATTGAACAGACTTTGCTCAATAAAAAGCTTCCACTGTCTCCGGAGTCTTTTTGGGTAGGTGGCTCGGGAGCTCTGTTTCCTCTGCATTCTGGAAGCCCGGTCCTTGAGTGTGGTGTACGCGCTGGTAATCCTTGGGGGATCAAGGAGGTGTGACTCTGATGTACCGTCATCCTGGAGAATGTCGCACACGAGATCAACCACCTCCACGTTGAGTACTGTTAAGGATTGTGGGAGCAAGCTGTCGGCAATCGATACCTCCAGCGGGTCTTGAATCTGTTTCGCATCTTCGGCGGAATTTGCAACCCGCAAAGGTTGAGGTTCTGAGACCGGCTCATGGAAAACAGGAGTCTCTGCTGGTTGTGGTGGTTTGCTGTTGGTGTGGTTTGTATTGGGTATTGAGTCTGGTTCTTGGACAATCGACACGGCGTGGCTTTGAGGCGGTACATTATCAAAGAAAGATGGTGTTGAGGGTATTTCTGGAATGGCGTAAGGGTTGACGTGAGACGCTTTTGGTGGCCGCAGTGGTTTCTCATAGGCTCCTCCGTTCATCCTGGGGGAAGAAAGCCCGGAGACGTCTTCGGGCAATGAAGATGTCGGGTATGGCTCGATGGAGAGCTTCCTACTAGGCTTCGAGTTGGCCCGCACTCTAGTGCTTGAACTTCTCTTAGGTTTATTAGGCCGTGGGCTGGGCATCGTCGCACTTGGATTATGCAGTGTCTGTGACCCCTGAGCGAGGGCTGCATCCGGTCCTTGTTCCGTGGTCGACTGAGAGACTTCGCCCAGATCTCTCCTATCTGCCTGCGTAATGGGAGGCGTTGACTGCAAAGGCGTCGACAGGCCTGATGGGTTGCGGAATATTTGCGGCTCTTCTTTGGAAGGACTTTGTGTCGCCTCTGCCTCCAATGCCGCGACTTTTTGGGACATGGCATCCAGGCCAGCTGGCGTGAGCCATTCCAGCATCTTGAATGCGACGGTCCCAAACACATTGGCTGCGAAAGAACGGTAATCCTTATTGACGGGTCGCTCGGCGACTTTGAATGGAGGATGGGCAGTGCCTGTTGCCGCATCAAAATGCGAGCGTTCGTGCGTGGCGGATGTTGTTGCTCGACGACCAATTTCCTCGGTACCCTGGGTAGCCCTCAGGGAACTGCCATCGCCATTTGCCCTGGCGCCCGAACCTGACTTCCGCCTTCTACTATCGCCTGATGTACCGGATCGCTTCGAAAAAGGGTCGCTGAATGCTGGAGGCGCGGGGTTGGAGGAAAATATGAGCGAGTTCAGGGCGGCCGGTGTTTCTTTCGGGGGGTTGAGGTAGGGACAGAGCCCAGTCTCTGGGTTGTCCTGACTGGCCAGGTACACTGCCAAGGTCCTTGCGCTCGTGATGTTGTATCTGCGTATTGGCGCTTTGCCTGCGAGACGCTTGCGACAGGAGAAGCAGGTCGAGGTTGTACATGACTTGGAGTCACATCCGTACCGTAGCTGTTGGACGTATCTGATCAGGGGTTCATTAGTATGGAGGACACACAACGGAGGTTGAAGAACAGTTGAAGACGCACGTTTCCACGAGTATTTGGAAGTTGTGCCGGCGGCTGGCGCGGTGGATGGCGTAGACGCGCTTCGGGTTCTCTATGATCTGTACCATTTCCTTCAGTTCGGCCGGCGCATCAGAAGGCAGGCGCGCGAGAGGCGCATCTTCCCAGAGGCCGGCTAGAAGTTCAGCATCGAGACTGGCTTCGGTCTGAGGGCCCTTCTCAGGGCGGCGGACGTCTCGAGTCATGTCATCCGGATGGCGAGAGTTCTGAGGGTATCTGAGATCGAATTTGGATGAGGTAGCTGGCGGCGTAGGAGACCAGGAGATGCGCGCGGCAGGGAGCGGCTAGCGAGAAGAGGAGTCGGACAGAATAAGAGGGAACGCAGGGGCGGCTTCGTTGTCGTCGTCGATGTCTAATGGTACACGGATAATACAACCGGTAGTGAACAGTTGGACCAAGTAGAAATATGTTGGCGATGAATGAACAGCCTTGACCCGATGACGGGCAGTGGGTATGGTAAGTAGGTTCGGTGGATTAGGATAGCTCAACGTCCCGGTCGTCAGTGTTGGAGGAGGAACTGGGCACCGTATGGCCACGCCACGAGGCTCGGCGATGACACGGTGCGATTCGATGAAGACGGGGCACGGTTTCCGGGGTCCTTCTGGAAGAGTGGATACGAGAAGCACGGGAGCAGGCAATTAGGACATGGAGGATTCCGCAGAGGGTCCCAATTTAGCATGCGAAATTCCACTGGTAGACGCGCAAGTTGCGATCAAAGGACGAACCAGGGCAGGGTACCTACTCTGGGGCCTGCACCTACGAGGACGGATGCCTCGTGGTGTTTCTGACATCAGCCGCAAGGTTGCCGTCTTCGTACGGAGTAGTTCAAACGCCCATTCCAGTCTCGGCAAGGTCGGCGGTTTCTGCCTCCGACTTTCTTTCCTTTTTTTTCTGGACCCAGCAGAGGTGCCCGCGCCGCCGTCGCCGCCCGGTTGACCCGCTCGAACCCCTCCATCGTTGTTCATGACGGGCCGATGTTTTGCAGACGGCGCGTAATGGTGAATTAGTCATTCGAGTTTCCATACAGTAACTATTTCTCAGTGTGGCGACGAGTGTTCTTTCAGCAGTTTGCAGCAGTATGGTGGGCATGATGCAAGTATTTGTCTGGTGCTTCAGTATCTTAGTCAAAGATCATTATTATTAATCACGTCCTGGTATCCGTTCTTGTTGGGCTTCAAGTTCGTTGTTACCTGGGTATTCATCGAGATACCCAAATCGAGGCTTGCATTTGAGGCGCAAGCCCAAACGCCTGTGATTTTCAAGGAAGATGTACAGAAAGAAGGTACGTTCTCTTACGGTAGGTACTTCCATAATAAAGGATGTAACTCTAAAAGACGCGGGACGGCGACAACTTATCCCAAAACGGTGACAAGTAGACTTGCTGGTGCTTAAGGTGACAGTTTGCCCCCCTAGGTACTCGGTATCCATACGACCTGCCTCATCTTTCTTGATATGTCAGCCGGCGAGACAGAACAAGACAGAAGCTAAAAAGAATGCATCAGGCTTCTCAATCGAGCTTCTTTGCAGGTCCGGTGCTTCGGGAAGGAGACAATTAGTGTACAGGCCCCCACTTGACAGGGCAGCAACTGCCAGGAACATGCTAAGGTAAGGGAAATCTCGAGGCTTTTCAGTGGTACAACTTCTGAGGGACAGCCCAGCCCAAGGGCCCTAGACTGCAAGTGACGTGCCTATCACGTCCCTCCAAACCCCCGCCTAACCCACTAAAGCCCTTGCGAATTTTCCCTTTTAAAATCATTTTCCCCTCCATCCCGCCAGACTTTGACGCACTGCACACAGAGGGACGCCCATCTTTTGCCTCCTTCACCTCTCTTTGTTTTGCGCATCCTGCAAATTCACGTTTGCGCGCAACAAAACTCCCTATTCCAAACAATCAAACACATACACAAGCAACCTCTGAGACAAAAACCAAGCAGAAATCACCACTTTCGCACACGACATCCACCATGGCGAGCGTCGATGTTGCTGCCCTCGGCGCCGTTCCTGCAAATGGAGGGGCAACGGCGGCTTCCCACCCCTACACCTGCAACACCTGCTCTGTTGCGTACCGAAACATCGATCTTCAGCGAGGCCATATGAAGAGCGACTGGCAGTATGTTACTCTCATTTCCCTCCTCCCTAGACTCCTTCCTTCTGTTTTCTAGGCTCGGCTTCTCGTCTTGTTTCCGCTGTGTTCCGCTCAGACCAACTGACATCATCCACTCAGCCGTTACAACCTCAAGCGAAGAGTCGCCTCCCTCCCTCCTATCGCCTCCGAGGTCTTCAACGAAAAGGTCCTCCAGGCTCGCGCCGTCCAGACCGCCGAGGCAGAGAAGGCTCTATTCGAACGCTCCTGCGACGCCTGCCAGAAGTCATACTCGAGCGAGAACGCCTACCAGAACCACTTGACGAGCCAGAAGCACAAGGTCCGTGTCGCTGCTATTGCTAGACGCAAGGGCGGTGTTGCCGATGATGCCAGCTCTGTCATGAGCTCCACCTTCTCTCTTGGTGAGCCTATCGCCGTCGACAAGGAGAGCGAGTTGGATTCCGAGGCTGAGGAGGAATTCACTCAGGTTGTCGAGGGCCTCAAGAAGACCAACATCCACGAGTCCCACGGCGAGCGCCCCTCGCCCGTCAAGCGCCCTTCCAACCCCCACCTCTCTGCTCAAGGCCAGCGCGACGATGTGAACATGAACCGCGACTCTGAGTCTGCAACCCCCGTGCAGTCAAAGCCAGAGATTGCTTGGACCATCAAGTCCTGCTTGTTCTGCAACTACGAGTCGCCCAGCGTTTCGCTCAACGCCAACCACATGGAGCGATTTCACGACATGTTCATCCCCGAGAAGCAGTACCTTGTTGACCTGGATGGCTTGCTTCAGCATTTGCAGGAGCGCGTCCACGATGGTCACCAGTGCCTGTACTGCTTCAAGACCAAGAAAACGGCCTTTGCTGTGCAAACTCACATGCGTGACAAGGGTCACTGCAAGATTCCTTATGATACAGAGGAGGTTCAGCTCGACATTGGTGATTTCTACGACTTCCGAAGCACCTACTCTGATGGCGAGGATTCGGACGAGGAGGAAGAGGAGGCCGATGAGAACGGTGGAGCCAAGTTGGGTCTGAAGCGCCCGACCAAGTTGGTTGGAGAGGACGGCGAGGAGGTTGAGGAGGGTGGAGATGATGGCTGGGAGACGGACAGCTCGGCCTCTTCACTTGACTCGGATGAGCTGACGGCCTTTACCGCGGACGGCAAGTATGAACAGTTCGAGCGCCTCGACAAGCACCCTCATCACTCTACCAACGATCCGCGTGCCCGCCACCAGGCCGATGGCTGGCACTCACACGCCCACAAGCACACCCGTGCTGTTTTCTATGACGAGTACGAGCTGCACTTGCCCTCTGGCAAGGCAGTCGGTCACCGCTCTCACAACCGATACTTCAGACAGAACCTCCACAACTACCCTACCGAGGAGGAGCGCGCCGAGCGTTTGGCCATCGAGGCTGGCTCTGGCTCTGGCGATGAGATGGACGTTGATGGTAGAGAGGTCGCCACCACCGGCGATCGCAAGACTCGCAACCGTGCCATCGCTCGCAGAGATGCTGCTGGCATGGCTGGTGCGTCTGATAAGCAGAAGCGCGTTGTTAGACAGGAAGAGGTCAGAGGCCGGAGCACCGCCACCCGTCACCAGAAGCGCTACGACTACGGAGTCAGCGAGAAGTTGAACAACCAGAAGAACTTCTACTACCGCTACCAGGCCGGTGGTTGATCAACTCGCCAATCGATTCTGGATGAACAAGGCGTTGGACGGATTGATTTTGTATTTTGCTCAATTACATTGAACCTTCAAAGGAATTGGCATGCATGATGAGCTTTGATGAACCATGCATAGGGAAGGTAGAACAAAAATAGAGGCTATTACTGCCACAAGATCGCAGAGACTTTAAAGTGAGGTGATGTTAGTTGTAACAACTTGGTATACATAGGGGTAGTGACGGTGGGGGTTTGGCAATTGACTATGCATATAACGAAACGTCTCTATGCGTTTGTTGCATTATCCTAAGCAAACTCGGACCTTCATATACCTTCCACCATCCCCTGAGGTCTTCCATCCACAAGTGTCATTCGGCACCAGTGGCAATGAATCTCAAATTTTCAGAACAATAATATGGTCCTCATGTTTGGCTTGTGAGAATGTTCCAACACATATGCAACTGCCGTGCCTTCGCTCAGCGGCCGCTCCTGACGTCGCAGCGATGGATGAGCAGCAGGCCGACTTACAACGCATGGCTACCCCAACCAGATGCCGACGGTTGGTACGATGGGCGGAAACACCCAAGACGACTGGAAGAGTTTGACAACGGGAAGGGTCGCGCAAAGGAGGACCAGCGCGTCCGGGCGAACACCAGGCTTTCCCCCCCTTCACGGTCGGGCGGCGCACCCGCTAGACGGCCAGGCAGCGACTACGGCTCCAGAAGCTCTAAGGATGCGCCTCGTCATGAACGTGGGCAGGATGAGAAGTTTTCAACATCGTTGTCGCGGAGGAGTCCTCCCCGGCCAAGGAGGTCACACAGGGACGATGGACCGCCGGCACCCAAGAGGAAGGGCGGCGGTTTTGTACTAATGGTGAGTTGAAGCATTATCACTCTTCTCCCCCTAAAAGGGGTTCATACTTGGAGTGCCTACACTGACATCCCGCCAGCCGAAACTATCTCAAGAGGAACTAGATAAGATCAGTAAACCCAAGGACGTCTGGGAAGCCAGATCACTCTACTTCGTGCCCCCCAAGAGGTCAAAGGAACACCAGAAACCCCTACGCCAACCCAAATCGCCCAAAACCGAACCCTCCCGAAGGAACCGCGACGCAGCAGCCATGATCGCCAGCCCAGACGCCATCAAAGCAGCAATCTCAATCTCAGAAAAGGACCTCCGCTTAGCGCGAAGACCGCCCCCGCCCCTGCCCGAAATCGAACTCGAGGGCGACGGCGGCAGCCTCGTCGCGGACCCCATCGCCAACGACGACGTCCTCCCGCACGCCCTCGCCGCCCGGTTCTTCCTGTCTCCGCCCGCAACGTTCCTGTACTCGGCCTTTCGGCTAAAGCATCACCCGCTCAACACCACCACCCCCGAGATCTGCGTCGTCGGCGCCAGCAACTGCGGGAAATCGTCCTTCATCAACGCCCTCACCGGCGCGGCGTCGCTCGCAAAGGTGAGCGACCGGGCAGGCAAGACGGTATCCATGAACGCGTACGGCGTGGGACCCCTGACGGGCCTTCCCTTCCGGAAACCAGTCGCATCGCCTTCTTCGTCCGAAAATGGCAGCGGCGGCGTCACAAAGGAAGAAAAACCAGAACACGGCATAATCCTCGTCGACACCCCCGGCTACGGCTACGCCTCCCACGAAGAATGGGGGCGCGAAATCGTCGAATACATCAACAAGCGCACCATGCTCCGCGGCATCGTCCTCCTCCTCTCCTCTGAAAAAAAGGTATCCGAAAAGGACGCGCAAATCGTTAAACTCCTCGCCGACGCCGGCCGTCCCGTGATGCTCGTCTTCACCAAGATGGACAAAGCGCTTTCCCGCAAAGCGCGCGAGGAAGGCGGCATCGCGCAGCGGTTACGCGAGGCGGAGCGGTGCTTCGCGAGGACGGGGTGGGATGGCTGGGTGAAGAGGGTGTACATCACCGCGGCAAGGATGGAGCGCGATAAGAGCTGGAAGGTGGACGAGGGCACGAGGAGCGGTGCGGCGGGGATGGCCGGGGTGAGGATGGGGGTTCTCGAGTTGGCGGGTGTGAGGGAGTTTGTTGCGCCGGAGAAGGCTAGCAAGATGGTCGCTCAGCGGAGAGCATCGCAAAAGTCGCAAAAGACGCAGGAGAAGGGAGGAGAGGAGGAGGAGGAGGGAAAGAGGCTGGAGCCCGGTAAGGCTTTGGAGAGCGATCCGGCGGCGTGGTCTGGGGACGTAGTTTCGTTTGAGGAGCTGGAGAAGAAGTTTGGGGACTGGAGTTCGTGAGCGGTCAGAGGACCGGGGACCTTTCTGTACGACCATGTCTGTAGGATAGTGTGATTGGTTATATCAGAGAAAAGAGATACCCTCTAGAGAGAAATGCAACTCATCGTCAGCAGATATGGAAACCTGAAGTGAGAAATGGGACGTTCAGTGATATTATCACGGTGAGGTACTTCACTCGTAAACTGCGGGAGACCCGATTGATGACCCAACGCTTCAGACAAGTTCCGTCAATGGGTATTCTAGCTAAGACAAAATTGCTAATAGTCCTTCGTTGACCATAAGACATTGCTCAAGAACTCCTCGTTTCCTCCGTTCCAGTATGAAATCTCAAGTAAGTGACACAGAAAATGGTGCAGACTGGTTGTCCACCACTACTCCTTCTCCTTTTCTTTTTCTCCTCCCGCGCCCGAGACGGTTGAGCGCGCCGTGCCTGGCCTGCTGAGCTGCCGACGAATCTTCTTCGCGTTCTTCGATTCGAACAAACTCTTAACCCTCCTAAGACGCGCCCAACGTTCCTTGTCCTTGGCTTCTCTCGACTGTTCGTCCTCATCGCCAGCTGGCTCGGTAGCAGCGCTCGGCGAGTCGTAACCCCCTGGTGTCGAGGGCGCCGCAGTGCCCCTTCGGACCGGCGTTGAAGGCACCGAAGCGCCTCTATTATGCCACGTGGACCTGTTCTTCGGTCGGTCCTCGAGCGCTCCGCGAAGGTAAGCGTCATTCTTCAGCACCTGCGTCAGCAACTTCCAAGCCGCCAAAGTCGTGTCTGAGCCGGGCTTCGCGCTGCCCAGACGTTGCGCCACAGGGTTCTTCCAAGGGCAGAAGGAACGGTGCTCCTTGACTGGATCAAGATGATCCATTGGCGCGGGAACAAGGATCTCGCCGTCGGCGCTGACCTCCTTACTCTTGAACATCCATAGACCGAGACGTCGCAAGCACGTGTGGCAGGATGCCGAATTTGGCACCGCACCAATGCGGGGATTCGTGAGGCCCTGCCACCCCATCATTGCCAGAGCCAAAGCGACTCTGTTTGGCTCCTTGGGATCCGGAGAGTCCTTGGTCGGCGGTGGGCTTGTGAAGAAGTCTTCCGGCAGCTGGGCGAGGACGCTGTCGATGCTGAGACCCTCAGGTAGCCTCAAGTTGAACTCATAGGGAAGGAAGGGTTTCCTTGCACAGAGCTCGTCGTAACGTGTTCGCAAAGCCTCCATACTAATTTTGGCATTGGTTAAAGATAGCCGGAGTAGCGAATCTGGGAACATTAGGTCTTGGTCTCGTCAACAGGGTCTGTAGATACTTACTATCGCACCCCTGTTTTCTCCATAAACATTCCTCCAGATGTGCCGTGACAATAAGATCGGAGTATCTTTCTATTAACGCTTCCTCTGCTTCACCAATCAGTTCTGAGTAGTAACGAGGGATGGCAACCATGAACCTACCGACATCTGACGCCACAAGAACAGGTACCTCCTTGCCATCAACTTCGCGTTTGTTGAGCTTCACAACGAGCTCCTTATTGCAGAGCGAACACCGCACACGGTCCTTTCCCTGGCAAACCCATCCTCGCTTCGCCCATTCAACCTCGTTCACTGCATCGGGCTTCGGTGTCCAGTCTGTAATCTCCTGGAACGATGCTAGTCTCTTCAGGAGCTCGTTTCGGTCGCTGGGTGCGAACTTCGGAGCGTGCTTGATTTCCGTCACGTTGGCTGACCTTGGAACCCACTTCTTCAGAGATACATTCGAGAAGGTCGTCGTCGCACCTGCTCCAGTGGCACGAATCGAAGGAGAGCTGTTGATTGTAGCGGCATTCTTTTCTGTCAGTGCTTGCAGGCGCCGGCGCTTCAGCAAGATGTCCTCTTCAATCGACATGCTCGGTTTTACAGAGGTATCGGCTGTTGTATTCGTGTTTGTAGAATTCGTGTTGGAGGGCTGGAGGGAAGTCGTCGACGGACGAGGTGATTCGGAAGGTAGGCTCGTGGTGTCGTTCGATTTCGTAGAAGCGGATGATCTGCCCATACCCTGGATGAGGGCGTTGAACTTTCGTTTGGTAGCATTCATTGTCGCTGCGTGTTTCGATGTAACCGGGGTGGTGGATGTAAGGAAAGATGTCTGATCTAACCTGACCCCAGGCGCGAAGATCAAAGGACCAGGAAGATGACGGCAACGCAGAGGGTCGGACGATTTGGTTTCCTATGAATTTATGAAAAGTCGAATTCTGTTGTTTGAAGAGGCTTTCACTCAGAGTCCTTCGTCATTTGTGGTATGCTGCACCACTCGATGGATCTCCCAGGAAGAGGATGGCGCTTGGTCGCTAGTTGAAGCCTAGGCGCCCAGCTTTGCGAAAGTCAACAAACGGGCAGTCGCTGATCGGGCAATGAGCTGGCCACCCCTGTCGCGTGGATGCAAGCGCTAAGGTACGAGGCGTGGCAACGAGTTACCAATGACGTATTACGGATAAATGCATATACCAGCTTAACGGATATCAACTGATAAGATAAGACTTTTCGCAAAGTGAGAGGTCGGGAAGAAAAAAAGTTGCGAGCAGGGATCCCGACACTAAAATTTTGGAGACACCGATCCGCCGGCGCAGAGATCCCACAGAAATTTTCCCAGGTGAGGGAAGACCCAGGACGATTCCATTCTCACCGAGGAATTTGCGACTCGCCGGCTCTTTCCACCTCCACTTACTTTGTCTTTTTCTTGCCCATTGCGACGGATAAGAGCCATCTTCTGGCACAATACACATGTCCGCGCCTCCATCTTGGCTATTCTCCAACAACTTCACAAAAACCAATAACGCAAGCACCCCTACGGCTTCCGCGACAACGCAACCAGACAAAATGGCCAAGGTCAAGAAGTCCGAGAAGAAGGTCAAGGCCGATGCCACCTCCACCAAGCAGGCTCCTCCCGCCCAATTGATGGACCTCATCGACTCCTTCCTTTCCGAGAACGCCTTCACCTCCGCCCACGAGGCCTTCCAGAAGCAGCGCGCCAAGAGCGGCTGGAAGCCTTCCAAGAAGGAAGCGGCCCAGACGGACCTCGTCACCGTCTTCCAGACCTGGCAGACTTCTTCCACCGCTCCGACCACCAGCGAGAGCTCTAGCGACAGCAGCTCGAGCGAGGATGTGGACATGGCCGATGCGGCTGCCGCTGAGAGCGACAGCGATAGCAGCTCGAGCTCCAGCTCCAGCTCCAGCTCCGATTCCGACTCCAGCAGCGACAGCGAGAGCGAGGATGAGAAGCCCAAGCCCGAGGCTAAGCAGAGCCTGAAGCGCAAGGCGCCCGAGTCCGACAGCAGCAGCAGTGATAGTAGCAGCAGCAGCGACAGTGACTCCTCCTCAGACGACTCCAGCTCTGAAGATGAGGCCCCCAAGGCCAAGAAGCAGAGGGTCAAGAAGGACGACAGCAGCTCCTCCTCCGACTCCTCTTCCGATTCCAGCTCGGACAGCTCTAGCGAATCTGACTCCTCCTCCGACTCAGACTCTTCCGACAGCGACAGCGACTCTGACTCCGACTCTGATGGCTCTGAGGCCGCAAAGGTGCCCCTTCCCGAATCCGGCTCCGACTCCTCTTCTTCCTCTTCCGATTCGGACTCCGACTCAGACGCAGACACCAAGAAGAAGGCCAAGAAGGAAAAGGCACCCACCGACAGCGCTTCCCTCTCCTCCGCAACCCTCGAGAAGACCTCCCCCGAGCTCAAACCCGCGACCTCCACGGCCGCCGACCCGCCTCTGCCCCCTGACCCCATGACCTACCGCGCCAACAACCGCGGCGGCAAGAAGGAGAAGAAGGAGCCCAACAAGCCCTTCTCCCGCATCCCCGACGTCGTCTACGTCGACCCCCGCTTCGCCAGCAACGAATACGTGCCCAACGACTACTCGCAGCGCGCCCACGAGGACCTCATCGTTACCAAGGGCAAGGGCTTCACCAAGGAGAAGAACAAGAAGAAGCGCGGCGCCTACCGCGGCGGCTTGATTGACATTTCTAGCAAGAAGGGCATCAAATTCGACTAAGGTCCGCTGTCAGCCACGGTTTTCTTGATGACGTCCCCCTACACACATGCATGTTCAGTTCTTGGAGTTTTGGGGGTCCCGAAAAAGATTTTTAAAGCAAAAAGGGGAGGGCCGGTTTCGCTTTTGCATTGCGTTTATTAGTTGGCTTCAGAGAACTTTAAAGCATGACGGTTATTTTTTGCCCGAGAGGATGGGGAAAAAGACCAGGGAGAGAGACAGAGCTGGGTACGCGGCATAATCACTAGATTCGAGATCAGCTCCCGCGCAAACGTTTTGCCGTGTAGATAGAAAATCAAAACGTTATCTTTTGACGTCCTTTTTATACATTTCTCTACCGTATCCGTGCTACTTATGCAAGTATTCAGGGGGTGATTGATCAAGAAGTACCGAAAGTCTAGCGGTACTTGACTGTGATGTACACCTCCAGGTACCAGATAACAGACATCCTCTTAACGGTCGTTGGACCAGCAGAGTTCCCCTCACACAGGATCAGGCTGAGATGTGCGACACAGAGTCCACGGTGGCGCAGTGGGCTGAGATAACGAGCCAAGGCTACAGCCTGATCGATGTTGGCGTGTAGTCTTGGCCGGTATCTTCTCCGCGTCGAGGCGTTGGAGTCATGGAGGATCTTTCTCCAATATAAGTCCCGAAGTCTAGGATATCTAACAAAGTGCTTGCCTATACTGGCAAACTCCAGATGCCCAGTTACCTCGCTCGTTGTCGGGGTTTCGAGGGGGGGGGGGGCACGGGGAGAAGGGGTAGGACACGAAAGAGACGGAGATGAAAATGAGATGAACGAGTGGGGGACCCGTCCCGGGCGATGCCTCGCGGAGGAGAAGTCCCAGTGCAGCGAGTGTTGGGTTCCGCGGCGGTCGATTTCTTGGCTGGGCGGAGCTGAAGGGGGAGGAGAGGAAGAGAAGGAGGGGTAGATCGTAAGTAGCATGTTGGCTGGCCCACTGCCAACTAACCTTAAAAGCCTATTTCCGGGCTGGCACCAGTCCCTGTCTGGCCCGAGTTGAAGATTTAGTTGATATCAACGAGGACTCGGCCGAGATACAATCTTTGCAAGTGAAGTATTTGGACACACCTTTACGTAGAAGAAACAAGAGGAATAAGTTGTATGGCAAAATATATAGCTAATTAATGAGATCGAGGAACGGCCCGTCGTCGCAGCTAACGCCAAGACTGTTACTGTCCGCGATGCCGCCCCCATGGAACTTTGTATGGGTTCGGCAATCGGCAGAAATGATACATCGAGTCACATTGATTTGATACTTCATTCGCCAGCTGCACTACAGGCCTGGCAGTGTTCTTTCGATATTCATAAAGACATTCATCGTTAAATCTTCTAAAAAACTTCCCCGTATCTGTCCCATGGTATATCCAGAACAGACCAAGGAAAAGCCGGGCACGTTAGTTGCTCCAGCCGAGTCTCTACTCTGAAATCTCTGACGGCAAATCCTTGAACTCTTTGAGAATCCAGTCCAAGAACAGCTCCCAACGCTTCTCCCATTCCTTCCGCACACTCGCGAGCTCATCTTTTGACATGCAAGAGTGCTCTAGACTCCACTCAATAAGCTGTCGCCAGCCGTGCAAAGTCATGTCCGTCTTACCCACCATTGCTTGATAGAAATCATGTGAAAGAGTTGATCTATGGTGACTCTGATTAGCTTCTTGCTGTGTCGTAGACACATACTAAATGAGGGAAAGACATACCTGAATATTGTTCCGTTATCCGAGTTTAATGTGCAGTGTACGTTATTGGCGAGCAAATTGTACATCGAGTGGCCCGTAATCCGGGGCGTGAGACCAAGCTCCTCATTAGAGATTGGGCACACCTCAAGGCAGATACCCCTTTTCTTCATGTGCTCCATGATATAGGGGTGCCTGGCCAGAGCAAATCCGTGGCCGATGCGCTTCGAGTTGAGCAAGAGCGCATCCACAAGATTGCCGTCCGTGTCGTTACCAATGTCTGTCGTCTCTCCGCAATGAAAGAGAAACGGAATATCAACTTTAGGCTTAGATTCTTCACATCTCTTCCTGAAGGCGAGGAATTCTGTAACGAAATCCCGCAAAGGGCGACCTTGTGATTCTTCGCCAACCAGATCAAATCCTGTTCTCTCAGTTAGTTGTCTGCTTAAAAGATGACTGCGTTCAAGGACTTACCAGCGATCCACTGGGGCCATTCCTGCTTGAATTCGAAACACTCGTCGAGCGCAAATGCCACCTTGCCATTATCAAAAGACCTAGGGGTGCAGTATATGACTTTCAGCCCGCCAAAGTAGTCTTTGGTCTCCTTCTGAAACTTGTCGTATTCTTCCGTAATGATTTTCATGATACCTCTATTGTCGATTTGCTTCGTACCGTCATCAGACCAGAGTTGATTTGTTTTCATAAAGTTGGGCCGAATCTCGGCATACTGAATGTTGTCGCGAACGAAATCTTCAAGAATGCCCCGTGTGTATTTCCGGTAGGCACTCTCATAGTTGAAGAGACCCTTCATCATGCGCGTCCGGCCGTTGAACTTCTCCCATGCTCCCTGAACTGTTTGGAGCGCGTTATGTGCTTCATCTTCGTGAAAGACAAGCTTGCTTGTGAGCCACTCCTCGGCCTTCATGCCGTTGTAATGCTTGGGGAACTCTTTGATAAAATCTGAGTATTTCATCATTTGTCGGGTATCATAGTCGGCCTTGAAAAGGTTTCCCTTCACTTCGTTTTCCTTTTCGAGCGGTAAGATGGTAAATTGGATTTCACAACGGTGAAGGTTAGTCTTTGCCGCGCTCGGCGCCAACGACAGATCGCTTTTGATAAACATGCGGGGCATGGTCTCGGCAATGCCCAGCAATACATGAGGCTGCAAGCAAGCATTGAAATGAATATGAAGGTGTGCTCCCTTTGGCATCTTGACCGCAATTCGGAATAGGCTCGTTTGGTTGATCAAATCGACGTTGGATAGGAAATGGTCAGCAGCAAACCGCGCATGTTCCTGACCACCCCACCCTTGCCTGGCGTCAGCCTTGTCATACACGTCCTCCTGGTCCTTTTTCTTGAGTTTCTGAATGATGGCGTTGGCTCTCCGCTCCTTCTCTGATGCCCGCATCTTTGCGCTGAAATCAAAGGATAGTGTATTCTCGCGATCCAAGATTTCTTTTCTTTGGTGGAAGTACTCGTCAGGTCCATCTATTCTTCTGGCGTCGGTCTTATCGAGGGTAGTTTTCCGGCGCATCTTGAAGATGTTATTGATGACTACCTCGTGAGCTTCGATCATTTCTTGGGCCTTGTCCATGTCTGCTTGGTGTCTGTGGTGATGAGTGCGATGGCGTTGGTGTCGAAGCTTCCGCAGCCTTTGGGAAGAGAGTCGTGTGATGGGCTTTGCATTGATGTCCCTACTACCCTGACCATCCTTCTCGCCAGGTGCATCGTCCTTTTCAATGTTTGAGCACAGGCTGCCCATGAGACTATTGACAGAAGTGAATAAAGAGGTTGTTCCTTGACGTTGGCTGCCGGGTAAACTTTGGATGGCAAAAAGGTGGCTACCAGGCAGTGAATCGGCGGTAAGGTACACAAGAGGACCAGGTTGGTGTTGCTTTGTCGGGATGTTCTATCGCCGTGTTTCGAAGATCCACGATCGCAGGGAGACGAAAGTCAATTTAATTGAATGCGCAAAGCTCCTCGGCAGCTCTGGCGATCATCATGGGCCCGTTTTCAATGTCCTTTATTGGAACCTGGGAACTTGGGAAGTGGAAAATGTCCTTCCCTGGGTGAGGTAGTGCGATGACAAGCAATGTAGGAAGAAGGTACGTTTGTTTGCGGTACCAACAAGTGCCCGGCTGTACCTTTAGCTTGGAGGTCTCATGCTTGGCCTCAGGTAAGCGCAGCTTTCATGTCAAGCAAGGCGTGAGGAGGTAAGGAAAGTGACATGCGGCGGTTTCCAGCTCAGCTGGAACCATTCAAAGGTGAGCAACAAGCGGTCCTCCCCTCTACGCCTAGATCCTGGACCAGGCAGTGACAGGCTAGCAACGCTGCGACCCAGAGAGGCGGCACAAGGTAGATGGACGGAGGTAAAAGGTAGGTGGGCTGGAAATGAGTGTGAATGAGGTGGGCTGGGAGAACATGAGGTAAGGGTAGAATGAGGGGCAGGAGGGAGCTGCCTAGGTACCTTTCCAAACTGGACAAGAAAGTCGTACCCAATTTAGCTTAGCTCGGTATCCAAGCCACATGCGCAGTTCTTCTTCCGACTTGGCCAATGAATGGACCCTTCACAGGCTGACACGCAGGCTTTCTACCTTAGTTTCTACCTCAGCGAAGAAGCTGCCTCCCAATTCCCATCTTTCTTTCGCCTGCGTTTACCCATTTCACTTGGGGCTATTGGAAGACGGCAGGACCAGACTTTCGTTGTTTGGCCAATCCTTTCCCTCCCATCTGACAGTTTCCTTTGGCAGGCGGGGGCTTCCAGTTGGCCGTTTCAACTTTCCGGTCAGGTACAGTTGTTGGAGCTCACGGGATTTCTAAATGCCTTGTCTCACGTGTCACGCACCTGAACCAACAAAGCATTTGCCTACTGCTGCGAATAGGCATCTTGGGAATGCTTCCCGTCATCTTTCACCTCTTCTAGGGTCATCCTTTACCGGATGAATCATTTCCACCATTTTACCCTCTCAACAAAGCCAAAATGCCTGAACCGCAAGCGAGTACGGTGTTCGGGGCCTCTTCCTCACTCAAACTACCGACTTGCCCAAGAAATCTTAGGTACTTGGCCAACTTCGTCCACATCCAACAACCCGCAATCATGATATCTCAAACTTGAGGTAGTCACGTCCACACCTCATGCGACCCCTTCCAGAAGTTCACAATCGCAGGGGGTCATTCTCACATGGCAGCCACACCGTTGTAGATCTGCAAACGCCCCGATACGGGACCTGCTCGGCGCACGAGCCATTCCCACTATTCCAGAGAATCGGAATCTTCAACACATGCCCAGCACCCCTGTTGGGGTATGA